GAGACCTCCTGGTTCCCTCAACAAACCTAAACTTGGCGCTCTGGGTACTCTTTCTTTTGATAGTTGATACGTAAAAAATAAAGCTTTTTAATCTTTTAATTTGATGGATGACTTTTTTGCTTTGGATTGGTAGCCACGACAATTTTTTTCATAGCTTGGTCTTTGAAATGCTTCATGCTTGGGAATTAGCATCTAGGAAGAAGGATGTGATTTTCTACTTTTTCTTTTCTTCTCTTTCTTTTGCTGAATATATAGACATATACACAGACACACACACGTGGGATGTTGATGGCAGGCGAGGAGAACAAATGGGTAATGTGGAAAAATAATAAAGGAATGATTGTTTTGGTTTGGTTATGTTTTTAGTTTTGGTCTTGGGTTCTGATTTCTGATGGAGGCTGGAATCATAGCTACAGTACGGAGTGATGATAGTAATATTAATTAGTAGTACCATAGTACTTACTAGTATTTACCACTAAGTTGCATAAAACTTCAAGTAGTAAAGAGATTATACAAGGATAATCAAACTTAACCAAACCAATAGTCCAAATATCTACACATAAGAATCTATGATGCTGTTGAATCATGCCTACATTTGTTGGGATCAAGATTTAGATTCAACTTGGGATCAATTCTATCGGACTTTAGATTTCAAACACATAACTAATGCGTGCCCTTGCTTCATTTTTCTGTTGATTCCCCCCCCCCCACCCAAAATATCTTCACTCTTGTATTTTATAGCAACTATCTAGCACATAACGTCTACCAAGAATGCTTCTATATTTTTATCAAAAAAAAAAAGCATGCTTCTATATACATAATATGTTCACAAATGTTCCTGAATAATGCCGAAGGATTGCAGCTTTCTTGTTATTACAAGATTTCTGTTCTTTTTTTCCTTTTTCAATATGAAACATACTTTTTTTTTCATTCTATGGTTCTGACCTTCTAAAAGAGAAAAAAAATCTTAGAAGACTGAGCTGTCTTAGTTCTTGGTTGGTTACTAAGGTGATATATTTCACTAAAAGTGTTATTATTTTCATTTTGCAGGATCAAACAGTGTAGGTTTTACGCCCCATGTTATCACTGTTAAAGTGGGAGAGGTTTTTTCTCTTACCCCTTTTAACTTCCATTCTGCCTTTCCCTGGTTTCTGTGTAAAACTGTCTTGTTGCTCTTACTTGCTAGAGAGAACTATTCAGAAATTTTATTCCATTTATTAATAATGACATGTTCATCTTGTTGCAAGATGCAAAAATGTTTGCCATGAGTTGCGGAAACTTCTATTATTTACTTTGCTAATGTATGGCTTTTCACTTCCAATTGAAGTCTTCAGAACTTTATTTACTTTGGAGAAAGAGTTAGGTCATTAATGCTTTGCATCTTGCATGTGATAAAATAAAAGGTCAAATTGGAGAAATGGATCAAATTTCCAAAATTCCTCCTTCTGACAACGGGAATCAATGGGAACACAAAGAAATACTTGATTAAACGTAAAATTTAATAATGCTTGCGAGTTTTGCAACTTCACAATGTATAATCAACTTATCACAAAGTTATGGCCGGTGAGGCTTATTAGCAAGGAGGGGGCTGTGGGTACATTTAGGTCCCAGGTTCAAGTCCCACCAAGGTGTGGGTTTAGTCCAGATTTATTTTGGTGATTTAGTTCTGGTGTGTTCTTGTTTGTCAAATGAAAAAAAAAATATAGTTATGCTAAGTGGGAATGAAACAAATGATCTTGATGATGATTTTAAACTGACATTCCTTAAAGTATAGGGAGATACCTTTCCTCTCATTAATCTTTTTCTTCATCAAAGTGAAGGATTTTAATCCTTTTCTTCACTGGAAGCCTATCATCCATCACTCTTAAATTTACTGTGCTTCTTTACATAATGCAATGGATTGGTTCTTTCGTTGATATAATACTTGTAGTTGATATGTTGATCTGAAACTAAAATGTTATGTATCTACCTGGTTTTAGGATGTATCATCAAAAATCATGTCATTTTCTCAGCATGGTCCCAGAGCTATCTGCATTCTCTCAGCAAATGGAGCCATATCAAATGTTACTCTTTGCCAACCAGCAACATCTGGTGGAACTGTAACTTATGAGGTTTGTGATACGCTAAATGATTAGTATCAAAGCAAAAATGCTTTTCTTTTCTTTCTAGCAACTTTTAGCGTCTGTGGGAGGGAGGTAAATACTGGCATCTAGTTTCTAGAGCATCAATTTGATCGTGCAGTTTGTGTATCTATGTTATGTTCATGTATTTTATGGTGCCGTAATTGTACTAAAGATATTTTATATTTATATAAACTTGATGCTTATGCTGTATCGCATTTTAGTTATCTTTCTGTATTGTGTCTAATATTGTCAGGTTTAGCATCAACCTATAGATGGATGGTCATATGCTGTTTAAATATCCATTGTATCAGTATCACCGCTTTACTTGAGTATATAACATTAATGGCATGCTGCTCCTTTTCCACTAATGGTGCAGGGGCAATTTGAAATTCTGTCACTTTCTGGTTCATTTCTTCTGTCAGAGAATGGTGGTCAGCGAAGCAGAACTGGAGGGTTAAGCGTGTCATTGTCTGGCCCGGATGGTCGGGTTTTAGGTGGTGGTGTAGCTGGCCTTCTAACAGCTGCATCCCCTGTTCAGGTATTTTTTTCGTCTCAATTTTCATTTTCAATTACTGTATATTTTTTTTTCAGAATCGTGCAATACACAGGATGAATCAACAACACTTGACTAGAAGTAAAAGTTTCCGTAAATTTAACTTACTTAAAATTGATAAATATTTTGTGATTGATTATATTGTTAATGATAATGGGCTACGTGTTGATCTTATTGCAGGTGGTTTTGGGTACCTTCATCACGGACAATCGAAAAGAAACAAAACCAGCATACCAGATGGAATCTCTATCTGCCCCACTAAAGCTTGCTCCGGGGGTTACCAGCTCACCTTCTCATGGTACTTTAAGCGAATCCTCGGGTGGACCGGGTAGCCCAGTTAACCAGAGCATGGGAGCCTGCAATAATAACAACAACAATAACAACCCACATGGTATGTCAAACTTGCAATGGAAGTAAATCGCGCTTTTAAATCGATAGTCTGTAGTGGGTCAGGCTAATGTGTTGTAGGAGGAACCATTCTGTAATTTAAGCAATGTGTATCTGAAGTAGAATTAAGCATTGTGACTCGGTTGCTGCTATATAGACAAGCTAGAAACGGCTGAGTGTTGTTAGTGTTATGCATTTGTAAGGTGTAAGGTGTAAGGTTAAAGGTGATGTGAACTTGTGTTTTAGCCTCTTAAGTGGTGTCTGAGATTTGAGATAGTGAGTTTGAGTTGCTAATAACAGTGAAGTCATTTCACAAAGCTTAATTTCACGATCTCCCTTTTCTTTTTCGATGTGAGATTAATGTCCCTCACCTCTCCAAGGCGCGTCACAGTGCCTGCACTATGTTGCCTTCTTCGCCCTCTTCAACAGTAACCGTTATAAGGGAAACCGAGTGCAAAAGTCTGGTCAGAATCATCCTCTTGCATTTACAGGATCCACTCTTTTTGCCACTCGCCATGCGTGCTGCAACAGCTAAGAAAAATGCTAGCCATATTCCGAACATTGATCGGAATAAGAAAGGTCCGATAGATCTGATGAGACACAGTGGTTCTATGGGTGGGAACCAATCAGTAGGGAAGTGTAGAATGATTCCAGTCACAAAATACCCATGGATATACTGTCGCTCCGGCCAAACTTTTACTTTTCCGATCCTGCAAGTATGAGATGGTTGCTGCCTTGTCTTCACGAGGACTCGCCATTGTAACATTTAGTTTATAAAATTTAAAAAGATGCAAAATCAAATAAATTATACAAAAATTTAACAATTACCCTCCAGCTCCTTTAATCCATTCCTGTTATCAAACATGTCATTTTATTAAAAAATTGTCATACCATCTCAACTATCCTCATCATCATACACCAACAATTTTACTAATAAAAATTAGGGGTAAATGAATAGAACGTTAGGTGAATTATTCGTGAATCATTCGTATAACATTCGTTCATGTTCGTTTGTTAAGCTAAATAAATGAACTTGAACCAAAAAAAATTATGTTCATTTAACAAACGAATGTTCATGAACAATCTCGTTTGCTTGATTCTTCTTTTCATTTTATTTTTTACATTTGAAAAATTGGTGTAGATATGGATTAACTTGAACACATGATAAAAATTGAATTTAAACTATAAAATTTAAGAAGTTTAAACACTAATAATGTAATTTTATCATTTTTTTAACTTGCAAATGAAACTAAAATTGAATATACAAAACAACAATAAACAACCACTAAACCAATGCTAATGAACACAAAACGAACATGATCATAAACATATAAACCAACACGGGTCACAAACATTAAATGAATATGTTCGCGAACAATAAATTAATAAACACGAAAAAAAATATTAATATCTAGTGCCTCTAATAAAGATGTATTTGGATCAATTGCTATAATATTAGTATCTGTTTAGGCCGTTAAATGTGTAACTGATAATGTCATAATTCACATAAAAAATATTAATATTTTGTCTCAATAAAATTCTACATCAAGAGCATTTCTTCCAAGTCTAATTACGTATTTGATCTCTATATTTTATGAAAATTATGAAAGTAATTATTATACTTTAATTTCTAATAACTTCATCATCATAATTTATGAGAAAAAAATTAAATCAATAATCTTAAAACTTAAATACAAGAAATTAGCAAAAAATAACTATCCAGTTATCTATATGTAATAAATCAATAAAAATAAATAATTCAAATTTACGTGTTTAATAATAACTGAACTAATTTTCTTTAAAAATTTAAAATAGGGATTAACTTATCAATTTCGTTAAAGTTAAGGGATGGAATTTAGAATTATACATTTTTCCCTAAAACGTCCTTTAAAAATTCCCGACCTTTTTTCGTTTCTTTTCAACGTCCCGTCGCCGGAGAAGCCTCTTACCATAACTCTTTCCTTCAAGTTTCCGACGGACCAGGAAAATTAAATAAGGTATTTTTGAAACCCTAAAATTAACTTGAAGATTTCATACGAGATTTTGAGTTATCTGCTCTTTGACTCTGCATCTTTCTGCTACATTTCATTCTGTTTTCGATCAAACTGCTATTTTCCGTTACACTGTTATTTGCGGCCGCAAGCCGCTACTGTTGATACGAAAATTGTTCACACCGCTCTGAGATCTTTCGCGGAGGACGGCGCCGCTTCCGCGAAATAGCGGCCGCAACACCACTTAGCTGCTACTACTGAAACCCTAAACTACTTGCATAGAAATGTCTTTGTCATGGTTCATTCATTAAGCTTGCCGTATTATTCAACTAGAGAGTTTTGCAAATCTATTCTGAGTTGAAAATGGATGATTTTTTCCCGATGGGTTTCAAATGGATCAAATCGACAGCAGGAGAAAATTCGAATTTTGTTCACATTGGAAACATATGAAAATGATTTGAAACTTTGCATTTTCATATCATGCAGTGAATAACAATGTTCAACTTTTGCTGTTATTCATTTATTGACCATGGGTTACACTGATCAGGGGGTGCAGGTAGGTTGGATTCTCGGTTCTTCCGGGCCTCTCTTTTATGTTCTACACCATGCAGTTTGTTGATCTAACTATATTTAAAGCAGTTTATAGGCGATAGAACTAGAGTATGATGTTTCTTGAGGCAAATTGCTTCTCAAAGTTTAAGGGTCTAATGGTTGACAAGTCCTTTAGGGAGGAGACCGTTGCCAGTTGGTTGAGAACTCCATTATTTTATGGTTGACAAGCACATACCTATAATTCAGTTTCTTCATTTGGATGTATTATCTTCTTAACTGCACGTGTGTTTTGTATCGGTGATACCAGTAGACGGGTTTTGCGGCTGACGTGTGTAAAGGGAAGTCATGGGCGGTGAAGATTATGCAGAGTCAAAGGTGAAGCCATCTGTCGTTTTAACTGGAGCTGCAATGGAATCTAATGGACCATCCATTGGTATTCTTGACATTGGTGCCAGTCAAAATGCCTTCCTTTTCCGAGTTGCATTGCCAAGTATCAGGATCGATCAAAGTAAGTTCCTATCTTTAACTATGTTATTAATAGCATGTAAAATTGATGCTGTCAATGCATTCGCCTAGGCTGGCATGTGCTTGAGCGCTAGACAACAAAAATACCTTAGATCCTTTCAGGCAAGGTCCATTTGATCTTACACACTTGTAGTGCTCGTAGGCATGCATTTTCGCAAGGTGACAGGTTTAAAAGAAAGGCCCATAAGAAAGGGATAGTATCAAACTCTCCGTAAGCCAATAATACATATTGCAACAAAAGTTCGCATGATTTGCGGATGAAATAATTCTTTCTTTAGAGTTAATTATATATAAGCTTATTATTATAGACAGTTAGACGGAGAAAATCACACACATGCGTATTGTGGTTTACTTCACTTGGGTAAGCACTTTTTTCGCGCCTTGGGCCTGAAGGGTTCTAGTGTCTAGACTGTGTTGTGCCCTTGGGCCTTGACAGTAAAAATACAATGCACCAATATAGATGTTTATTACTTTTCCTTTAACTAGTAATGACATTACTGGTCTAAAAAAATGCAATTGCAATTGCCATCTGGTTTGAACCCTTGCTATCCTGTTGAACAAATAATATAAATGAAGATGAGTAGATGACTGAGTTTGTAATGTTGGTTCCACCAGGTAAGTTGAAATGTGAGATCCAACGCGATGGAAAGGTTCTTATACAGGGTATAATACCACAAGGCACTGAAGTGCTGCGGGGATTATCGAAAAAATGTGAGATGAGAAACGAGATGTTCTGCTCTCCGGGACCATTCACCATTTCCTTTATTCTGCCTGGACCAGTTGATCCACGATTGTTTTCTCCAACCTTCCGTCCTGATGGCATTCTGGAAGTGGTGGTCTTGAGAATCAGTAGGCCAAGTGATCCAGCGGATGCATGGGCTCCACCTTCTTGAGATCGTTGCAGTGACGTTAAGCTCCAGCTCCAGCATCAAAGTGTTAAGTTTAGGAAAATGGCCTATCAAAACCAGAGTTATAACTTCATATTGGTCTAAAGGTGAAAAACAAAGCCCGAGGGACACCAATGTAGCGAGGAAACAAGCCATGTTTAAAGTTCAGTTTGAAGTTTGTTTGAGTCGTAATAAACAATTTTATGAATCAAGTGGTTGAATGGTACAGACATTGCCGTTGCCGGTCACATTTTACATTGCTGTTTGTATTGGCGAGTTATCTTGAGCTTTACCCTAGGACATACTTTGCTTTTTCGTTACAACCTTTCTCGTTTTGCAGACTCTGAAATTTCGACCACCTTGAGTTTAAACGATAAACAAGGAGGCGAGGTTTGGGGTTTGTGGAGTAGGCTATATGGAATTATAGGGGAGATAGTCAACCTCTTTGAACAAATGATGTGAAATATTAAAGTTGGTTACATAAATGGTACGGAACCCAGTCCATTGCCTTGGTCGATTCAGTATATAGCATAATGATAATAAAAAACGACTGTAAAGGTTTGATTGTTTCTAAAACTACGCCTTTAACGCTATTATGCATCGCCCCTTGTATGTTATCACTCAAGAATGGCTTATTTGAAAAAATATTGTGGTTTAAATTATCAAAAGGATAAAATTTAAGGGTATGATTGAAAAAGTGATAAGCTCCTTTATCATATATATATATATATATACTTGATACAAAAAGTTGGGAGACGATGGATAATCCTCAATTTACATAGACCCCTCGTTTAAAGCATCTTATTAAATGCCTTAATAGATGTTTTGACTGCACTAAGGTTAAATTATGAGTTTAGTACCTGTTTTGACATGCGTATTATCCTTTCGGCTATCACTTTTTTGTTGTTTAAAAAAATGTCTACCTCTTTTCACTTGCAACTCCATTGTTTTTGGTTTCTGGCTAGAAAGCATAAAGTTGCTTTTGTCTGTAAAACTTATTCATTCTATTGGTAAAGCCAATCAATGCATCTATCCTTGTCAAGAACTAACAAACATCACATTCCTAATTATTCAACAGCGTAATGAATGGGGCACTTATGTATTCATTACATGATATCTTATTCTTCTGACGAAGTCTGAGAAGAAAATTTTCTTCCTAGCCAAACAAATACATTCAACTCTCTACATACCTAGAAACAATATGCAGAAATGTTGGTGAGACCCCATTATTGTAAAGAGACATAGCTTGAAAGCCTTAGCTATAAAGATACCTGCATCAAAAAATAATTATGTAATAGTCAGCAATCGTCAAAAAGTACATTCATTTAGCACCATGTTTCACTTGGCACTCAAAGAGTAGAACTCTAGACCACAATACTAAATTGCAGCCGAATCGTACCGTTTCACAAAGTCACTGTGACATCACAACTACATCCGCAATATAGAAACATAGTTATTTTTAAGAAATAAATCTAATTATAACATCCGCAACACCAGTAACCGCAATTTAGTACTATGTCTAACAGTCCTAACACTTGGTGTCTTTACTCCCCAGAGAATTTTAACCATTATCTATTCATGAAGCTTGTAATTAAAACAATTAACCCTAAAACTAGCAAGAATCAGAGAAATAAAAGCAATGGCCAGTTATACCAAGGTGGAGGGACCACTAGAATTGCAACGTGATATTGAAAAATCTCAGTTAAGAAATGCACAAAACATTCAGAATGAATCAGAATTTGTTCTCCGGTACATGTGTGATTGTATAGAGCATATAATCAACCAAGAGTAGAAAAAATAGGGCAAAACCAATCCAATCAACGAAGCCGTATAACCTAGCTTCAGATTCACAATCAGATTAAGCGGAGCGATAACACTGCCCTCAAATCGCAATCAGATCCATTCTCCACCAATAACTAGAAGGTGGGGCGTAATTAAGCAATCACAAAAACAAAAGCGAAACCCTAACCAAAGACATAATCAAATTCAAAGAAAAGGGTAGAACACAAACCAAGGGAAAAGCGAGCGAGAGAGAGAAGTTGTTATTTGAGGGATTTGTCCTTATTGGAAGAATCATAGCTGGGAGGAGAGTAAACAACAGCAGCAACCATGGCTCCGGGAAGCACGACGAACTTAGATAAAGCAGCTAGCTTTGCGACCAAAGGTTGTCCCTTCAACAACGACATTTTCTTGTTTTTCCGTTTCCAGGTTTCTCCGCCGGCTGATCTTCTGATTCTTTTACAAATGATGGCTGGTTCCTCGACTGTCTCCATCACTCTACTTGTACTGCTTGGTTCCGGGTCGGGTCTACCTGATCCAAATCACCAAACCACCATCTTCGGCAGGGCTTTCTCTCTGCTTCAATCTAATTTTCGATTGGGTTACCATTGGGCTTTTATCAGTTCATGATTTTGGGTTGGGCTTTTGATTTTATATTAAAACGAGTCTTAATTAACCATAATATCTATAGTAAATAATTTTAAAATATTATTTTTTTATTAAAGTCTTGGAAATCTTAAAGAACCATAATACACAACTCCAATGGCGGTTCTATGGAAATAGTAACCTCAATGGGACCATGAATTATATCATATGATTTTTTATTAGTCTCGAATGATTATCAAATAATATATATTCAAAAAATTCTTAATCAATTTAAAAATAACGCTCAAATATATTTATAGATGTCATACTCCTATTCGAAACTTCTAGAAATATCAACTATCTCTTTAAACACTGAAATTACGTAATTTATGATATATATATATATATGGGGTTAAATTATTATTTTAGTTATTTTTATGTTAAAGTTTTAGTTTTAACCTGTTTAATTTAATTTTTTATATTTAAAATGCTTTTAATAACACTTTTAGTTGTCACGGTTAAAATGATAGAATGATTTTTTATGTGAAAATTTAATCACCACGTTCAACTATGATAAATTGCAATTTAATAAAATATTATTTTTTTAAAAAAAACATATAAACAATTTAAGGATAATAATGTTATTAATTTATAATTACCAATAATAATATAAAAGTAGTGGAGTTTTTAAAAAAAAAAAAGTATAGAGATTGGATTACATCAAATTAAAATAATTGAGTTAAATCTCAAATTTTGAGTATAATAGAAGGACTGAAACAATAGATAGACCTATATACAGGAGGGAGACATTTGGGTCGGAGGGAGGGAGGGAGGGAGTGGGTTTGGGGCACATGGCATTATCAATTGGGTGTTCCAGTAACTGGTGAGGCATATTTGAGTAGAAGAATTAACGACAAGTGGTGTGGGCCCCAACCCTAGCTTGCAACTTCTTAGTCCTAACTCTTGTTCCTGATTAAGACAGTAAATGAGATGAGATATAGTTATTTGAGTTTGATTTAATTAAAGTTTGGTAAATATTTAAATTAAATGAATTTGATATGAATTTGTAATAAGTTAAAACGAACTTGATATTTGAATTGAAAAGATTATAAGTAATTTAAAAAGATTATAAGTAATTCAAAAAGATAATATATTAAAATTTTAATTCTTTTATAAATATGTCGAGTTTGTAATTCAAAAGGAGAAAACAGATTAAAATTAACATTTATATATTTTTTAAAATATAATAAAATTTTCTCCTAAACTTAAGATTTAGAGCTCAAGTTTGAACTAAATCTGAAAATTATTTGAGTTTAAATTTTCTGAATCGAATTTAGCTTTAATTTTGTAATTTTACATTCAAATTGAACTTAACAATTTTTTAATTTAGTGAATTTTTTAATCGAATCAAACTCTATTTATGATAATCGAATTTGATTCGACTCGTTTACGGCGCTAACAACAAAGTATAGCGGGAGAGAGAGAGAGAGGCGCGAACCGAGGACCACATAGACCGAGCAGGAGCATCAACTTCATCAATTATTGGCGCTTAAAGATAAAGACGGGTGCGGAAGAGTACTCAGAGTCGACTCAATCCAGAATTAAGAGCATGGATATTACAATAATTTCGTTATTTAAAAACATTATCCGACAAATTATCCATCCAGTCCCATTAGTGCATTGGCTTCCTCGGGAATTCCCGGTTTGACAATATGGTGGTGAAGAAGAATGGTGGTTAAAGTCTTCGTCTTTGAGCTACTACCAAAAGGACTCCTCTCTTCTCTTCTCTTCTCTGTTACTACTGCTCGCAACTAATTCCAAAGCGCCTCTCTCGCTCTCTCATAATAATTTGTGGGTAAATTTCTCTCTTTTGTCTTTGTCTCTAATATTATAGACTTCCATTTCTTTTGTTCACTTGTTTGGAAGTGGTAAGATCATTGTGGCACAAAGCTTTTCATTCCCACACCTCATACTTGCTTATCTCTTCCCCCATTGTAACCAGGAATATTCATTCACTGTCTTTGTCTCAAAAAAGTTTCAGCCTCTCCTTTTTGGTTCATACAAGGTGAGTGTTCTAAACTTTTTGAAGCTATAAATTTGTTGTTGTGGGTGGTGACTTCCCTAGTTTCTTTTACCAGTTCCCATCCATGCCTGTAAAGTTGTTGTTTTTATCGTTTTTGAGTAATTTGGGTGTAATGCCCCTGTTGTGATCAGGGACTTTAGTTACTGTTGTAGTCATGTTTTCGGTTGCATTGCATTTATCGCGATATGTCATTACGGGTGTCGGTCGTGCTATTCAAGTGACAGATATATTATGAGATCTGGGCTAGTGATAAAAATGGTGGATGGGTTAATTTGTGATCTTGGTTTCTTTTCTTCTTACAGGTAAGCTGTTTGATTCATTGGTGAAAAGATGAAGGGTGCTGTTCTTGTAGCCATTGCTGCTACAATTGGTAACTTTTTGCAGGGATGGGATAATGCTACTATTGCTGGAACTTGCTTCTTTCACATTTATATTACCACCTTCCTGTTTCTTGGTTTACATTATGGTATTACTTTGCTTTCTGATAATGCTGGGTGAGATTTTGTTGACACGGAGGGGATTCGAAGAAACGATATCAAGTACTTTTTTGCACTGGTCTTCCCTATTTGCTGCTCAAACTCGTGTCTTTGCCTTGAATCCTTAACATTGATTGCTTTCAGGAGCAATTGTGTACATTAAGAACGACCTCGATCTCGGAACAAGCATTGAAGGTCTTGTGGTGGCTATGTCACTGATTGGAGCCACAGCTATTACAACATGCTCTGGAGCTATATCAGATTGGCTTGGTCGGCGTCCAATGCTGATAATTTCCTCAATGCTTTACTTTGTTAGTGGTTT